ATCACAAACATCGAGACAGTCTAAAAAAATATGGAGTAATGTATATTGAACAATTACTAAATGCAGATATGACAAAAGTATTAGAATTAAAACGGATCCATCAATATGAAATCCCAAAACATAATACAACCTGGTATATAGACCTCAGCAATAAAATAGAACAAAATTGGGAGTATATAAAGAACTCATCAAATGCAAATCCTATTAATAGATTAACATTAATAAATAAATTTTCAAACTTAAAGGGAAAAATAATAACTACAGACCACGCGCATGGACCCATTATGGGAAAAATAACTCGCGAGCTCAAATCACATGACCAAACTGTAGTGATGAGGCATATGATCCAAGAAACAACAGAACAGGAGACATTTTCGCCACTTAAAGCATGTGAAGGATGTCCGCTACAAGAATCACTCCCTACACTAGATACAAAAACTAAAGGATCAAATACCAAATACTGTGCAATTACTGCAGATGTTACAAAAGTTAGTTATTTACCGACTAGAAACTCACGGGTCTCAATTGGAAATCCAGAAGATAAAAGAATCAAAACCAGAATTGTAATATCCCCTCGCTCCTTACGACATTATCATGAAAATAATCCAAAGCCAATTATTAAAAAACAATTTAAACATAATATAGATAATCACACATTTTCAAAAAAAATCATTGATACAGATACACAAACTTTAGAAATGTTAGAAGAATATACTAGAAAATTACAGAGAAGCAAACAAATAATAGCATACACAGATGGATCCCTTATCACAGATGTGTCCTCAAATAGCTCAACCATAGAACTAAAAAAGCAACGGATGGGCTTTGGGGCAATATGTCTGGTGGAAAATCTCAACTTGGGAAGAATCGAATGGAAAGGGAAAGTGGAGGGTCCACCTTCATCAACAAGAGCCGAACTATGGGCTATTCTTTCAGTCCTATGGGTAATTCCTAATAAAACCGCAATAAAAATTATTACAGATAGTGAATCCTCAATTAAAGCAATTAAAGGGTACACAGATGAGCGTAAGGGAAAGCACTGGAGTAATTACAGTAATCCATTAATACTGCAAACAATTAAAGAATTAATCTATACAAAAGAAATCGATCTAGAACTAGAAAAAATCAAAGCACATCAGGGGGATTACAATAATGAAAGAGCAGATGAATTAGCAAAACTCGGATCAAACTCAGGATCTATTTTCTCAATAAATCCTAAATATTTACGAGAGCAACAATTTAGACATAAATGGAACGATAATAATATTGACGTGTCAATTAAAGAACTTATAAAAAAAAAGGAGAAATTGAATCAACCATTTCCTGGTTTACACAACATCGAATATATAAATGGCTAAACAAAAATATAAGGAAAGAAACAAATTGGAAATGGTCACAAGAGGTGTGGCAACAATCCAAAATTACTGATAACAAAACTTCAACTAGAGACAACTCACTTCGCTCTTTCTCAATAAAACTGCTAAATGAGGAACTCCCAACAATGAAAGTATTACATACAAGAAAACCTGAGATATATAAGGATAAGAAATGTCCTTTCTGTAATATTTATGATGAAACCAATACACATGTATTCATGTGCAAGGATACTCCAAACACCTTAAAAAATACTTTTTGTTATATCCTAAAGAAAGTATACACACAAGAAACAGGAAAGAAAATTAATCCAAATATGTTACAGAAAATATATAGAAGTCACTTTCTCCAAGAAGATATTGGAAGACAAATAAGAGATACTCTCTCTGTTGACCGGTTTGCATATAATGATCTAGTCAAAGGACTAATCCCTCGATCAATATATAATATAGTGAAAAACCATACAAATAAAGCTGCGATAACAAAAATGGTCATACTTAAAACATTTTACAAATGGAAAGAAATACTTCGGTCCACTTGGATAATACGATGTAAGGAATTTTTAAAATGGGAAATATCAAATGAAATCAATGAAATAAAAAAGAAAAGTAAGGGAAAAAGACCATTTGATGACCTTGAATATTTAGAACTTAAAAAACAATTAGTACAATGGGGAAAGAAAATATCTATCGAGGTGATCGATAGAAGTTATAAATATAATTCAGACATTTTAAATAATATATTCTTTTGTATCGACGTAGGTGGGGTTGAAACCTATCAGTAAGAAAGGAAACT